ACCCTCTTCGAGCTATACCTAGATCCCTGTATCCCAGATCCCTGTTGTTCCAAGGTTGAGTATGCATCACCATTTACCTCTGTCCCACTAGGCCATGCAAACCTGTCTCAGTGTTCCCCTATCTATCTTGTTCTTCTGCCTCCTCCCACCTTGTATTACCCTCCCCAATACCCAAAGTAAACTCCCCACCCCAACCCCATTGTGGTTACCTTATATTCCATTAGTTCTTCCCTCCATTTAAGACAAGTCTATTTTATCCAGTAATCTACCTTACCTTCTCACCACCTGGATCTTTGTTCCTCTGTGTTTACCTTTTTTCACATTGTAATTGGTTTTGATCATAGACTGACCTCCCAGATCCTCTGTTCTTATAATTTTATTTCGTTCTTGACTCTTCCATTTGTCGACTGAGTTCAGGTTGATGCTGCCATGTATGGCATTCTGTAGTTGTTGTGTGTTCTTGTTGGTTCTCAGTCCACAGAACTTCCTTTAGGATGTTTTTCATAGCAGGGTTGGCTTTGGCAAAATCCCTTAGCTTCTGTTTATTGTGGAATGTTTTGATTACACCATCGTGTTTGATTGACAGTTTTGCTGGGTAGAGGATTCTTGGGTGGCAGTTTTTTTCTTTCAGGGTTTTATATATGTCTGCCACTCCTTTGACTTTAAAATATGTTTTCTATTTCTAAGTGTTTTTTAGTAGTATTGTCCATTTTTTAGCATTAGTCTTCTGGATTTCTAATGGCAGGTTTTGAATTGTTTCAGAATTTACATTTATTTTGTGTATTTGCTCTTGTAGTATTTTTCTGAATTCTTTCAAAGTTTTTTTCTGTGCTCTCCTTGCTTTCTTTGATCTTTCTGTCAGTCACTTGAAAGGTGCCTAAATATTATTCATTTGAATTCTTTTTCAGTTATTTCTATTACCTGTTCTTCCTCAGAAACTTTTTCTGGCTCTGCATCTTGGCCATTTGTTTGAGCCATTTTCTCGTTTCTTCTTGTGAGCTAAACTTGTTTCTTGTCTCTGGGGCATTGTAGTGTTGTATTTATATTTAACTGATGATTGTGTGTTGTACAAATGTATTCTTAGACGCTCACCATATCCTGTGGATGTAATAAGAGAATGAAAGCATGTACACCATTTTTGTTTGCTGTTCACGCTCCTCAGTTTAGGGTGAGTTTGACCGGTGTTGACTGCAGTATATCATCTATCAGGTGGTATAGGAGATGGTGTTAGCTCTTGTCCTGTGGGTAAAGCTTTTCTATCGCCTGTGTGAATCTGCTCTGCCAGGATTCCTGCTGTCAGAGTTGCTTACAAGATAGTCACTTTGCATTTGGCTGGCTGCTCACAAGTTACTCTCTCTTTCACCCTACTCCTCAGCTTCTCCCAGCAAGCATTAACTCCACTCTCTGAAGTTCAAGGTTCCAGAATTTTCTTCTGTGCCTTATTTCATTGGGTCTCTTGTATCTCTGTTGTAGAGGGACCATGTAGTACATCTGCCTAGTACTACCACCATCTTTCCAGAAGTCCTCAACCCTAGAAGTCTTATAAAGCTGCTCTAAGTAAATACCTTTATTTTTTTATTTTTTTAGTTTGCACTTTGCTGCACAGAGACCATAAACAATTTTTGCTTAGGCCTCTCTTGTTACATTTGATTTTATGAAACTCTTTAAAAGTCCCAGAGTGATGATATTCACTTCCCCTGAAGTAGTTTATGGTTGTTTTTAAAATGAGACTGAAAAGGAAGTACATCTTTTCAGTTAGGAAAATAAGGAAGTGAGCTGGCATTGTTTTAACTTTAATGGGAATAGAAATGGTTTTAAGTCTTTCACATGGAAAAACTTTCAGCATGGTTTATAATCTAAAATTCTGATGTCTGTGTTTTCTTAATTATGGTCAGATTTATTCCATATTCATTCTGGACGTTTGCTATTTTCTAGTTTTATTTGTCTGTTGTCTTCAATTCATGTTTACTTTGTATAGAACAATACTAGACCTTTAGAGTATGGAAAACAAGGGGAAATGCTGTGTTTATTTGTTGGGGAGGTACTATTTAGGTTTAACAGCTGTAATTTCAGAGAAACATCTGTAGGAAGTATAGGATACCATGGAAAACTGGAATCATCAAGGATTGCAGACAAACCAGTGGATTGGTTTCTCAGAAGATGTTTTAGAGGGATAATGACACATGAAATTGCCAATTTTGTTCTGTTCTAGATTCTTGTATTTGCATCTGCCTATTGGAGGTTAAAAGCAAAGATTTTCCTTACATTGTTCTTTAGAAATCACTCACATTCATTTTACTATTTTTAGGAATATTCCTGTGAATATATACACTGGATTCCCATATTGTGTTGAGGATCATTGCCGTGGAGTTGTCTTATAGGTAAGCATAGTATAAATTATTTTGTTCCTGATTAAATTATTTGTATTTGGAGACACTATATTAAGTTATTGTTAAGTTTTGTCATGTTGGTTCTGACCCATAGCTGAGGAGTAGCTGGTGAGCTTAAACTGCTGACCTTGCAGTTCAAATGACTTTTCAGTCTGGCGCATTAACCCACAGCACTAAGTTAGTTAATCTTTAGTGTATTTACCTTTTGGGTTGTAGGGAAAAGATTACCTTTTTCTGTGGGGGTGTCTTATGCCCATGTTCATCATATGGATATAAGGACTTAGTGCCAGAACTTACTTGGGGTGTAGGCTGACATTTGCAGATTTTCAATAATCTCATGTACATTTAAAATAGCTAAAGTGATTCTTTTAGAAATGCCACCAAGATTTATTCTCTGAACTGTGATGTAAAAGTCACAAGTAAGGCCATATTTGTGGTCCTTATATGGTGTGGTGCTTCAGGATAATGAGGTGGATCACAAGGCCATTTTGAACTCCAAGGTTGGCAATTCAAACCCACCAGCCACCATTCCACGGAAACCCTGTACAGGGTCGCGATGGGTCAGAACTGATTCTATGGCACTTAGCAACATATGAGGGACTAGGAGCCCTGGCAGCACAATGATGAAAGCACTCCACTGCTAACTGAAAGGTTGGTGGTTCAAACCCTCGAGCCACACTTTGGAAAAAAGATGTGGCAGTCTGCTTCTGTACAGATGACAGCCTTGGAAACACTGTAGGGCAGTTCTGCTCTGTCAGGTCACTATGACTAGGAACCAACTAGATGGGAATGAGTGGGCTTACATTTTGGGGGCAAGTTTAAGGCAGCCTAGAAAGGGCTGGAAAACTGGGTTAGGGTAATGGTTTCACTTCTGTGCTAAAGAGTAAGTAACTTAGGCAAAAGTAGTTAATTTCCGTATCTTCACGTAAAAGAGCTATGTGGTGTGTCTTGACAAAGGCAAATTCCCCATACTATAAAATGGAGAATAAATATAATGGTCTTATGTTTTAGCTTAAACTGATGAAGTGATGGTAAATTATTGTTTTGATGTTTTTGTTCTGTTGATATTTTATGCCAGTGTGTAAACTTAACTGATTTAAAAATACTGTTTTTCAATCCACATCAGATCAACCATTGTCTGGCTTGGTCTCTGACAGAGTCAGCAGGAGGGGACTTCTCAGGTTTCTTCAGGATGCCTGCAGCACTTGTGGAGAACAGTCAGGTTATCTGTGAAGTCTGGGCCAGCAATCTAGAAGAAGAGATGAGGAAGATCCGAGAAATAGTGCTCAGTTACAGCTATATAGCCATGGTAAAGAGTTCTACTCTATTGCACTCACCTTCTGACATGGACCTAGGGAATGAATTTAATGGGAGATTTTCGAAAGAAATTATACTACACTGAAGTCATGATAACCTAGATGAAAGGATGCACTGCTTTTTATGAAACATCAAGGGAACCAATGTACCAGAGATATATGTCACCTTTATTTAGTATCTTGGGTTTTTTGTAATATTACTCCATGTTCAAACGTCTTTAAAGCAGGAGTTATGTTCGCCCGTGGGCCTACCTTCCCCATAGATAAGGGGAATGCAACTATAGAGTGTTAAACATTTAAAAAAAAAAAAAATGTTGCCAGCATTTAAAAATCAAGGGCCCTTGCTTAAATTCCAGATTTCTGGCATCTCTGGGAAAATGGGAAGACCTGGCACTATAGGGTCCACATTCCTGCCTGGCACCGAGAGGCTGGAGAGGGAGATGAGTGGCATGGTAATATCAAGGACTTCCTTTAGCTGAGGCATGTGCTCTAATTTGCTCCAGTCCCCTTACTTATTACCATCCTCACATGTGGCCTGCTTTACTCCTCTAGCTGCCTAGAGTTTGTGACTCCTGCGGTAGAGACTTTAGTTGGTGTTGGCAGCTCTCTCTGATCTTGTCCTAGTCTTTTCACTCAAGCTAAACTTGGCAATTTAGGTTTGTTTTCTTATTTTTATGTACAGTTTTACTTTCCTATACTTGTGCTCTTATTCATATATTAAAAATTTTGGATGTTCTTAATTGATTGTGTGTCCACCCATAGTTACTCAAACTACTTGTAGTCACATCCTGCTTAGCATCTACAAGTTGTACTGCTAAGCTTCATGATTCTAGTGCTCCAAGTAGACAGTAACGAGATCAGTATTTTAAGATAGGTTTTGTACCCAAGCTTGGGGGCTTGTCACATAACTTTCATAAATTGAGGTAAAAAATTTGTTTGTGAATTATCAATTCAGAATCTATTGTTTTATGCTACCTTATGGTGAAGGACTTTTCATTTCCCAGGACACAGAGTTTCCAGGTGTTGTGGTGCGACCAATTGGTGAATTTAGAAGTTCCATAGATTACCAATATCAACTTCTTCGATGCAATGTTGACCTTTTAAAAATTATCCAGCTGGGCCTTACATTCACGAATGAGAAGGGAGAATATCCTTCAGGAATCAATACTTGGCAGTTCAACTTCAAATTCAACCTTACGTAAGCATCTCAGTTATTAGATCAACTCCATTTTTACAGTTTGTAATTTCTAACTGATTGGATTTTGTTTTGACTGAAACTAGGTAGGGATTGGACAGAGCAGTCAAGCAGGGGATAAACGAGAGATTCTCAGGAATTAAAGTTTCCCTTAAAGAACACTTCAATAGTTACAGACAAATAACCTAGTAAAAAATGGACAAAAGATCTGAATAGACATTTCTCCGAAGAAGATATACAAATGGACAATAAGCACATGAAAAAATGATCATCATCATTAGTCATCAGGGAGATGCAAATCAGAACCACAATGAGATACCACTTCATGCCAACCAGGATAGCCTCCATTATGAATGCATAAAATAAAAATAACCAAAAAACAAAAACTCAGAAAAGAATATGGAGGTATTAAACCCTTTGACCAGCTGGTGGGGATGTAAAATGGTGCAGCCTAGAGTTAACATATGACCCAACAATTCGACTCTTAGGCATAGACTTAACAACTGAAATCACTATCTCCACACAAGTTATGTACACAAATGTTCATAGCAGCATTATTTGTAATAACTAAAAAGTTGAAGAAATTCAAATATATGTGAACTGAAAATGGATGTATGTGCTCTCTAGCCATACATTAGAGTCTTATTCAGTAATAAAAAGGAATGAAGTACTGATACCATACTACAACATGGTAAACCTTGAAAACATTATGCTAAATGAAAGGTATTAGTCACAAAGTACCTTTAATTTTTAATGTTTAATTCCATTCATGTAAAATGTCTAGAATAGGCATTCTCACATCACTTGTGTAAATGGAGGTAAAATTTTTATTTATGAATTATTAATTCAGAATCTATTGTTTTATGATACTTTATGATGAAGGACTTTTCATTTCCCAGGACACAAAGTTTCCAGGTGTGTGGTACGACTAGTTGGTGAATTTAGAAGTTCCATAGATTACCAGTACCAGCTTCTTCAATGCAATGTTGACCTTTTAAAAATTAAGACAGAAAGTAGATGAATGGTTGACTACAGCAGGTGGGGGTAGGGTGAGGGTTGTGGGGAATTGTGGAGTGACTGCTTACTCCACATTTAAGGGTTCTTTTTGGGGTGATGCAAATGTTCTAAGATTGATTGGGGCAATGGTCATACAACTCTTAATATAGTAAAAATCTATTATATTTCAGTGGGTGAATTATTTGCATGTGAGTTATGTCTCAATAAAACGGGTTAAGACACAAAAAGTCAAATCTCCAGATGTAGTTAGTAGATCTAGGTTTGCCTTTTTCTAGTGGGGTAATTTGGATTACTCGTTTTACCTTCTGTAATGCAGTTTAATTATCTGTGGGAAAAAAAAAAGCTATATTATACCTATTATAATAGAAATAAGATTTAGAGTGGGTACTATTTAAGGGTAGTTAAATCTGAAGCCTTTCCAATAGTGGGCAAATTATGTGTTTTTTTTTTTCAAGTGGGGAAAAAAGATTATCCTCTTGCTGATTATAGGAGATGTGAGTGTATTTATTGGGCTCAGTTTTTGCTTCTTTAATTGGACATCATGATCATTTACTAGCTCAGAAATAACATTTTAATGATGCTCCTATGATACATAAGGTGATGGTAATATTGTTGATTATTATTTCTATTATGTTACCTAGCAACTAATAAGTGAACATCTTGTTTTTTAGAGAGGACATGTACTCCCAGGATTCCATAGATCTCCTTGCTAACTCAGGACTACAGTTCCAGAAACATGAAGAGGAAGGAATTGACACATTGCACTTTGCAGAGTTGCTTATGACATCAGGGGTAGTTCTATGTGACAATGTCAAATGGCTTTCATTTCATAGGTCAGTCCTAGAGAATGTGTCCTCTCTCCCCTACTTTGGGCCTCTCTGAATCATGGGATTGAATTCATTACTTTTCTTGTGGTCCTACTGGCTCACTTCTGTTGACCAGTTATTAAGTTCTGTCCAGTCAGTTCCGACTCATAGTGACCCTGTATAGGGTTTCTGAGGAGTTGCTGGTGGATTTGAACCTCCGACCTTGTGGTTAGCAGTCCAGGACTTATCCTATAGTGCCACAGTAGTTAATAAATTGAAATGCTAACTATTGCTCATGTCTTGGCACTCATACTGGTTTATTTCATGTAGGACCAGGTTTGTTAACCTATCAGGGAATATCTCCAAGGGAAAAGATGGAGGGTGGGACAAGGGAAGAACTGGAACTCTTTCCTGCCTTTTAGCTGACTGTCTTGGAGTTTTCCAGGTGTTCAAAAGCCATATTCTCCGTGGGAGACATTTTTTTTTTTTTAAAAGCTTTTTAGTACTTTTGAGTTTTTTCTAAAATTTTATTTACTTTGTTTTTGAAAATATGCACAGCAGAACATACCAATTCAGTAGTTTCTCCGTGTACAATTATGTGACATTGATTATATTCTTAGAGTTTTGCAACCAGTCTTACCCTTTATTTCTTAGTTGTTCCTCCCCTCATAATATAAACTCACTGCCTCCTAAGGTTCTTGTCTGATCATCCTAGTTGTTGTTGTCAGTTTGGTTTTTAAGACAGCTTCAGGGGTGTTTTTGGTTTAAGGATTGTCACAGACCAGCAGTCTCGGGTTTGTCTATCCTCCATGACTCTAGAAAGTGTGGATTACGTGAGAATCTGAATTCTGTTCTGCATTCCCCACTCCCTCCCCCATCAGGACTCTTCTGTGGAATCTGTGAGAAAAACATTCAGGAATGATAACTCGGCACCATCTACTTCTAGTCTGATGGACTTTTGAAAAAAAATTTTGTTTTTAAACTTAATAAAATTTTATTTTTCAGGTGGCTGAGCCTGTTCATGCATCTTCACTTTGGTATTTGTAGTGTAAATTACCTGAGCATTGTGTTTTCAAACTAACTTGATTAAGTCCTTTATTAGGCAGTTCCTGAAGGGCTGCTCCAGCCAGGGAACCTCAAATCTTCAGTCTCTCATAGCACAGCCGGTATTACAAGTTTATAGTCGGGAACTTCGTTACAGACCTTGTCATAAGATAGCTTTGTCAAATGACACCAGCCAACTGAGCTTGTCTCCAACTTTGTGTTTGGACTGCTGCTGCTTTTTGGCCTTGCCTGCAGATTTATTCACTGACTTTCTGGGGTCTTTCTTCATGCTGTCCTTGGGTGGCATCACAAAGCTTGGAGAATAGCTACTACATCAGCATCCTTGCTGAGATGTTGGACAAGGAAGGAAGGAAGGAAAGTTCGCAGGCCCCGAAATTTCCCTGGATGTTTGAATTTTTGATGAATAAAAATTACAGTTTATAAACCCTTGAATTATCTATTATCGTTCTCACATTTATAGGGCTGTTATTTAAACAACCTATTTCAGCAGGGTAAAGCAGTTTGGGGAGTCCTGGTGTGGCTCTGTGGGTTTGAACCACAAGGTCAGTGCTTCCAGCTCACCAGGCATGCCTTGGAAACCCTATACAGGGTAGCTTTGAGTTGGAATTGACTCATAACTACAACAAAGTACTTCGGAATTTAGCACTGAAAATTCATAATGTGAAGCAGTATTCATTATAAGCTTTGAGGAATGTAGTCTTATTTAACCTAAGTGTTGAATTCTCTCCTTGTAGTGGCTATGACTTTGGCTACATGGTAAAGCTGCTTACGGATTCTCGTTTGCCAGAAGAGGAACATGAATTCTTTCATATTCTGAACCTTTTCTTCCCATCCATTTATGATGTGAAGTACCTGATGAAGAGTTGCAAAAATCTTAAGGTATAACACAAAATGAATGGAAAAAAAAATGGTCCTGTTGTTTTATCACTATTTGCTCAGCTCAAAATTTAAAAATTTTAAGTGTTTATTGTGAATTGAGTGAAAGTTTACAGGGCAGATCATCAGTTTTACATTCAACAAATCATATGTTTTGTTTCATTACAATGATTATAATCCCTTCCATGTACCATCAGTTAACAGTATTTCTTTTTATCCACTTTAGCTCTTTTTTTTTTTTAAACACTCAGGTATATATAATAATTTAAACAATCAAAGGGCACATTCTGCAAGTCTGCCTCCTGGCCACCAGCTCTCAGTCCCTCTCTTTTCATGAATCTAGTCCTCAGCTGCTCCTTCTCTCCATGTCCCCATCTCTGCCTCTGGTGTTGCTGCTTCCTTGGATAGGGTCCCACATCCTGCTTGTGTTCTTCTCCCTTGATAGTCCTAGGGTCCTGTTTCTGCACTGTAAGAATAAGCAAGCATTTTTTGAGTACCTGGTAGGTGTCAACGCTGTGCTGTGTAGGGTGCAATATGGAGCCAACTGGCCCAGGAGTATGTGTGACCACTTTTTTTAATCTGGCCACAAAGGAAGCCCTGTGCTGCTTTCATGTTAACACAGGCATTCTTCACCAGAAGTTGATGAACCTAACCTAGTGATACAGTGGGCAGTTTGTCATGGATGGGTTCAACAATGTATCACATTCTCCAATGGGTAATTAAACCCTAGGAAGTTTAGGAACCCATGAACGTAATAATTGTTGACATATGAGGTTTACTATCTAGAATTTGATTCGTACTTTTTATTTCCTCAATCTTATTTTATTGTAGTTTAGACTTAGAGGATAAGAGGTCTGGCAAAATCAATGATGTCGTAAAGAAAGGAGCAAAATGTGGAATGTAACATAAATGAAATATTTGGAGTGAAGAAAAGAGTCAAGGGCTAGAAAGTGGATACTGCTGGGGTTAAGTAAATTGCCTGTTCTGACTTCTTGCCACCCAAAGAATACTTAAGAATGAACACAGTTTACTCTAATAGAGAAATGTTGAGTCTGTAATACTGCTTTGTTTCTCTTTCACTTTCAGGGAGGTCTTCAGGAAGTTGCTGATCAGTTGGATTTGCAGAGAATTGGAAGGCAGCACCAGGCAGGCTCAGACTCACTGCTGACGGGAATGGCATTCTTCAGGATGAAAGAGGTAAGGCCTTCCAAAGCCCAGGGTCTGTGTACAGTTAACTAGTGAAGGTGGAGGAGCCAATCTTTGTGGGCTGAGGTGTGTTGAACATTTTTGTTACTGTTGAAAGTTGTTAGCTATGTTGTTATGAAGATCAAATCAACATATTAAATATAGCTTGAGAGGCAAAAGAAGCATTCTAAGAGAATACTCAGAGTTGCCATGAGTTGGGACTGACTCCATGGTAGTGGGTATATTGAATTTAAAGGAGCCCTGGTGGCACTGTAGGATCAGCACTGGACGGCTAACCACAAAGTCTGCGGTTCAAATCCACCGTCTGCTCCCCTAAAAGATGTACAGACTCGGAAACTATATAGGGTCATCATAAGTTGGAATTTTTTTTTTTAAGATATCGAATTTACTACAGGGACTGGATTTCTTTTTAATTTCCTTATTTGTCCACTTAAGTGTTTTAAGAATGCAGTTGAAGAGGTAGAGATGCTGCTTTGAAAAGAAGGTGGCAAAGGGGAATATGTATTATTTGTTACTATTAACTATGTGAGTAAACCACAACTGTTATCATATGGGGCAGTGTTCTAACCAAGGCAGTTGTTCTCAATTGGGGGCAGTTTTGCCTTCTCAGGAAACATTTGTAGTTGTCATTAATGGAGGATGCTATTCACCAAAGATGATGGTAAACATCTTAGAATATATTGAACAGCCTCCCCGCCCCCCACCAGGACTGAGCCAGCCAGTCCAGTTGTGCTGAGCTTGAAATGCTCTGCTTTGAGTGCTGCTGAACTGGTTCAGACTCACAGTGACCCTGTATATGGTTTCCTAGGACTGGCTGGTGGGTTTGAACTGCCTACCTTGTAGTAGCAGTCCAGTGATTATCCTACAGTGGCTACGTGTTTATTTAATGCCCAGCCCTAGAATAATATTCCATTTTATTAGTAGGGAAGAGTGTCTTAACGAGAAATCAAGTGAAGTTGTAAAGGTCACACAATGAGTTAGTCTGAGTCTAGAGCTCAAGCTCTTACCTGCCGCAACTGCCTATTGTAGAGAAGGAAGGAGCACAGAGATCCTGATAGTAAAAAGAACTAGAAAGTCTGCTGTTCTGCATGAGCGCCTACATTTCGTGAGGAAGATATGAGAAGACTTTTCTTCGGATTGCTAGTTTTTCAGGGCTTTTAAGAGACCTGAGAGGTGCCGATATGGTGTTTATTATTGAGGGTGAATTTCCACAAGACTCTTACCCTCTGGTTCTCTGTCCTTTTCTGCAGTTATTTTTTGAGGACAGTATTGATGATGCCAAGTACTGTGGGCGGCTTTATGGCCTAGGCACGGGTGTGGCTCAGAAGCAGAATGAGGATGTGGACTCTGCCCAGGAGAAGATGAGCATTCTGGCCATCATCAACAACATGCAGCAGTGATGGCGGCGAGGCTCTGCAGGCAGGCCTGACCCGGAGTGGTGCTGACTAGTCTCTGCATACTTGTCTCCTTCCCTGAAAGAAAACACTTCTTTTGAGCAAACTGTACCGACCATTTGCATTGTGCAGAAAGACTTCTGTTTTACTGAAGACAAAATGTGTCTTTTAGATCCAGAAGAGGGGCGTTTGCTCTGAATTTGTAAACAAGTCTTCCCTGTACCTCTTCCCCAAGCCTCTCCTCTCCAGTTGCCTATCACCAGCATCCATGGCTTGTTTGACACCTTTTTAAATATCCAGGACAAGTCAGAAACAAACTAGTAAAATGTATATAACTCTTATCTGTTGTCATTCTTTTTCTTTTAAATTTGTTGCTAATTTCTGAGGATGAAGACATCTGGTGATGATTCTCAGCTGAGCTGAGGGCTTTTAGGGCACATGAAACAAAATGGTGTTCTTGTGAAGTGGGTTATGGATGTTGAGTCTTCTCCGTTCTGCCTTTAAAACTTTAGTATTGACCCTCTTGAGGACATTTGCTTTTCTTACACTTTGGTAGTCTTGTCTATATTACTGTTATATGGAAATGAATTGCTCAGTGCCGAAACTGGAAGACCAGATAATGAAAACTGTTCTTGAAAGCAATTATTCAACTGAATCTACTCACGAGAAACTTCTGAATGGATATGAATTTACCGCTTATATTTCTATGTTCCATTGTGCCACAGTTACTGTCACATGCACCATCTGAAATTATTTAAACGTTTTCATATTAAAATATCCTGGATTTGATGCTTGAAGGAAATTAGTAAGATCAGAGTTTTAGATTATAAATCCATTGTATTTTCCTTTCAGTCATGTGATTTTGGATGGTCACTGGACTTCTCCCACTTTTCCATTTCCTCTGCCTTTCTTTTCAGCAAACTTGAAGAGAAGTAGGCGGGGGTGGGTGGGTGGGAGTGGGTGATTGTGAGTATCAGAAATATGAATATTAAAAAAATTGTAGTTACATGTGAAGAGAGTAGAAGAATTTGACTTTTTAAAAATTGAGTTTGTTTATTGAGGTCTTTTGTAGTAGAATCCCACAGGCAACTGGGGGAAGGAGGCTTAAGACTTAATTTTTTTCTCTTAAAATAGTCATTTTAAAAGTATGTTTTGAATGACTTACAGGACAGACAAATCCTACCTCCCCTCCCCCGCAACTCCTTTGGAATGGTGGAAATTAGAACTGGTAGCTCACTGAAGTGATTAGGCTTGCAATTTAAAAACTTATTGGTAAGCTCAATTTGAAATGATTTAAAAATGTCAAGTATTATAAGCTGGTATTTAAGATACTTGTAAATATTATTTATGTTTTTAATTTTGTAAAATAAAGATTTTTTTTAACCACTGGTGTGAAGGTTGATCTTTCATAACTGAATTGCTAGCTCTTGGTTTTTCTCACTTACTTTGTAGGTTTTGAATGAGCAATTGTATAAATGGAATTGCCTCTTCACCTCATATCCATTGCTCGTTACTGGGCCTTACTAGGACACCAGTTTCATATTATTGCCTGGGGTGGGGGCTACTCTTATAGCTTGGTAGTGAAAATCTTTTAGACAAATTGAACTTCTAACATCTATTATTAGCTTAGCATTGTTTCCAGCCTTTCTATCGGCACAGAAAATGTGACGTTGTAAGAAGTCAGATACAAAAGCAGATCTAAGATTCTGACTTGGATGCTCATATAAAGAAGGGATTTTGCTTTTAAGATATGTGAGAAAAGCAGCATGGTGACACATCCATATGCAGATACCCTTCTAAATTTGGATCAAAATAGGGAATTTACCTTTGCCAGACCCTGTTAATGTCAGGAAAAATGTTAAGATGAAGGGTTGAGGAACTCATTGATGAGTGGGAGAAGGGGAGTGTCTGGGAGCCTAAGGGTTTAAGTGCCATCAACTCAATGACCCTGTATAGGATTTCCATGGAGCAGCTGTTGAGTTTGAACTGTCGAACTTGTGGTTCAAACTGACCTTGTCCAGTGCTTTATCCTATAGTGGTACCACACTAGGGGCTCCATTGGGAGGTGTAAGAAAGCTTATTAAAGAACACAAACCCAAGGGACTTGAAAACAGTGATGAGAACAGTGTCAAGTCGGCTCTCATAACTATAGGATTTCCACGGAAAGCCTGGTGGGTTTGAACCGCAGCCCATGTGGTTCACAGTCCAGTGCTGACCCTACAGTGCCATACCAGGAGTCTAAATATATATATATAATGACACAAACACACACCTACACCAATAGTCATTGTAAGTAAAAAGGTGGAAACAACCTAAATGTTCAAAAGATGAATGAATGAACCAAATGAAGTCCTCAACCAAAGGTAGATGGAGCTTGGAGACATTATGCTAAGTAAAGCAAGCCAATCAGAAAGGACAAATGGACAAGAAAATTCAAAAAAAGATGGAACAGGCAAATGTATAGAGACCAAAGTTTATTAATGATTATTACCAAGGGTGGGAGGATGGAAGGAAGGAAAAGGGAATTAATTTTTAGAGAGTACAGAGTTCTGATTTACAATGATGGAAAAAGTCACAGATTAAAGGTTGAGTTGCATAGCTAATTACTGTAATTGATGTGAAGTTCATTTATAAAACAAAAAGCAGCTGTTGAGCCTGCTTATGTATAATCACAAACCTCATAGTATCTGATTTGTTTTGAGGTATAGGAGCATAGTTTCATGAAACATTATCCCAGTTAACTGGTCTATTATGGTGTTTACTGCATCTGTACTACCTCAGTTCTTGGGTAATGCCTGGGGTCTAAAAGCCTCCAAGCATCCATCTAAGGTACAATTTGTCTGGAGCAAAAGGGAGATGAAGAACTGGAGGAAATGCAATGTGTACCTCCAGGTACAACTGCCTCTGACATGAAACCAGAACTGCATGGTGCCTTGCAACCATTACTGAATGTTTTGATCAAAGATTCTACAGAAGAAGTCTCATCAAAAGGGAAAAATGCAGAGCAGAATTAGAAATTGTCATGGAATCCAAGCGTTCTGAAGCAACTGAGGCTGAACGAACCACTGAAACTATTGCCCTGAAGTTATCTTTAAAAATATCCCCTGAACAATAATTAAACAATAATTTGGCCTAATTAGTAAAGACTATCTGCCTTTAACATTGTGCTCTATTAAGAACTATATGGGTTCAAACACAACAGCAACATAAAAAATTACACAGGAACCAGAGGGGCCAGTGAGTTGATGTTAGTGGGGATGAACAATCTTGAATAGGTGAGAATGACTATACAACTTAATATAATCATTGTCAGTAATTGTACATGTAGAAATGATTGAACTGGCGTATGTTCTGCTGTGGAGATTCTGAACAAAAAAGAGCACAAGTCTATTAGAACTGGCGAGAACTTTGCCTGGTGTGTACGTGCAGGTAGGGCTGGCTATGTGAGGAGCCTTGGTGGCAAACTGAGGAAGTACTTGGCTGCTAACTGAAAGGCAGTGCGTTTGAGCCCACCAGTGGAGTTGTGGGAGAAAGGTCTGGCAATCTGCTCTGTTATTGATTAGTTTTAGAAACCCTATGGGGCTGCTGTGAGTCAGAGTTAACTCAACAGAATACCATGCCAACAAGGGTTATACTCAGGAATGGTGAAGGTGACCTGAGAAAATGCAAACTATGTGTGTGTATTTCAGTCCCTCCACATGCAATGCCACATCAAGTGTTCTAACCCAGTAAGGTCCAACCACAAACACACATGTAGATGTCAGCCTTTATGTCCAAACTGCTAATGTATACTATTTCTAGTTTATTCAGTCAAAAAATCTTGCAAGTACATGTTAGACACTTAAGTGCTAGGGCTAACAACAGTAGAGATGTAATCTCTATTCTCATGGAGTTTACAATCTGCTGCCAGGCAGTAAATAATCCACACATACAATTTGTGAAATTTTACAAAATACATCACTGACGCTGGGGTTCAGAGACACTCTTTTTATAGAAAGGACATTTGAGAGTTAAAAGATGAGTTTGAGAGAGGCATGCAGAACATGGTGGCCAAAACCCATGAGGTTTAGATGAAGGAAACTTGTTGGAGTAGAGATGAGTGTGGCTGCTATCTTCAAGCAGGGCTCCAAGTGTCTTAAGAAAGTCAAGGGCAAAGGAAACCAGGTGGGGCCTTGTAAGTCACATTTAAGATTTCCATCTTTTTTCCCTAAAAGCAATAGGAAACTACGGAATATTTCTTAAGGTAGGAAACATCTGATCTGTCCAAATGGACAAGAGCAAATTCAGAAATAGGCTGGGAGGAGACTGTAGTTATTTGTGCAATAGGAAATCATGATTTGGACTACAGTGAGGCAGAAGAGAGGGACTGGAGATAAAATACTTTGGATAGGGGGAAAAAGGACAAAAAAATATTCTTGAATTGCAAGTTATTTAGTCTCTCAATGCTTTGGCTCTTTGTGGTTCTCCACTTCAGGTAACTGTTGTTAAATGCTGTTGAGGTGATTCCAACCCATAGCGACCCTGTATAGGGTTTCCAAGGAGCTGCTGGTGAGCTTGAACCACCGACCTTGCAGTTCAAATGACTTTGCAGTCTGACTCATTAGCCCACAGCGCCACACCAGGACTCCCTAATCGGATTATTAGGGAGAAACAAATGAGAACCATTCTTTCAAATCAGAATAGCTGGACTATGTTATTCAGTACTGGAAAGCAGAGAGCTAACAAAGCAGTACGAGTCTCAATTGGGTTATAATGGTACTGGATATTTTTATTCCTTCGTTGTCAGGTAGTTGCTGTTATTAAGTGCCATTGAATTGGTTCTAACTCACAGTGAGCCTATGTAGGGTTTCTGAGGCTGCAAATCTTTGCAGGAGCAGAAAACTTCATCTTTCTCCCGTAGAATGGCTGGTGGGCTCACACTGCTGACCTTGTGGTTCACAGTCCAGTGCTTACCACCTAGGGCCACTGCATTCCCTGTCAGGTAGAAATTCTTGTTTTTATCAAAGTAGAAATAAAGGTGTGTATAGGATTCTTCTATCCACAGGTGATTATTTCAGTAAATCAGAAGAGAAGCGCATTTCTAGTTTCTAGTTCTAGGAGTTCTGGTATGGTGCTGTACGATAAACACTGGATCAAAAGGTCTGTTTGAGCTGCAAGGTCAGCAGTTCAACTCACCAGTCACTCCTCGGATACCCTGTACAGGTGAGCTTGAACCACCGACCTTGCAGTTCAAATGATTTTGCAGTCTGACTCATTAGCCCACAGTACCACACCAGGACTCCCTAATCAGATAATTAGGGAGAAACAAATGAGAACCAGTTGTTGTTAAGTGCCATTGAATTGGTTCTAACTCATAGCGAGCCACATGCTATGAGATGGAACTGACTCAACGGCACCTAAACAAGAAGTAGTTTAGTAATACTGTTCTGAGCTCAAGTGAAAGGAAGTAATTTTTTCCTATCTCTATAGAAGTTGCTCATTTTAACAAAAACAGAAATGGTCTCCAGTTCTTGTCTATCAGTGTAACTAAGAAGATTCT